AACTATGGAGGATTGCAACAATTTTGTATTATAGATTTTTCAAACTCAAGAATACAAAAGTGGTGGTAGATCAATTAATTAAACGTAGTTTAAGATACTAGAGTATACTAAAAAATAAAAAAATAAAATAAAATTAGCGTGAATTATGGAGGATTGGAGTATGAGTTTTGGTTATAAAATTCTGTATTGTAGATTTTTCAAGTACAAGAATACAAAAGCAGTGGTGGATCAATCGGTTAAACACAGACTTTCGGTAATTTTGAGAAATCGATATCTTACTCAAAGTTTCATAACTTTGAGGATCAATATGTTAAACGCAATATAAGATACTGAAGTATACAAAATAAAAAAAAAATAAAAAATAATAATAAAGAAGAAGAAGAAGAAGATATGCTCAACACTTAGAGATATATAAATATATATATATATATACACACACACACACACACACACATTAAAACAATGACGAGGTGGTAGAATATATTTAATATGATAGGGTTTAATAAGAAGAAGGGTTTAATAACAAGAAACGTTAGAGGGTTTAATTAAGGAAGTATATAATTAATGAATATTTATCCAGTCAAATCCCGTGAAATCCTGGCTTTTAGACTGGATTTGAAACGCAATGAAAAAGGTATTTGAAATCCTATAATTATCAAATCCTATTTGTAATTCTGTAGTTCCAAACAATACAAATCCTATTTCCAAATCCAAATCCTGTTTCCAAATCCAAATCCCATCAAATCCAGCATTCCAAACAAAGCGTTAATGTTTATTTAATCACTTGAAAATCAATTCCCTTTAAGGAATTATTTCTCATAATTAAATAAACTCAATATTCATGAATATCACAAGAAATCATAAGCATCATAATTCATAAAATATTGTAATTATGTCTACTACTAAAATTAATATCCATCAACCATTATGGTTGGGCCACTTTGGTAGCTACCAACCTTTATATAATATGAATATTAAATTAGCTAGTAACAAATTTATGATTAATTATGTCTACTACAAAAATTAATACTCATCAATCATTATGATTGGGCCACTTTGGTAGCTTCCAATCTTCACATAATATGAATATTAAATTAAGCATTTATTAATTCATCATTAAGTTATCCATTTAACATTATACACATATACTCATACTGATCGATCTAAGTTTAAGTAGGTTCAATTCCAGAAATTTAATAATCCAAAAAATCAATAAAAATATTCTTTTATTTTGTATACATAATAAAACATTATTTTTATTTTTTTTTTAATTTCTGGACTTAGAGACCATAATTGAATCAATCTAAAATTGACTCTCGATCATGTATGAATGTATGGGTACAAAATAATAATTTATTTATATATCCAATAAGATTAAATTTATAGATTCAAGTTTATTCTAAAAATTTAGATAATAAAATAAATAAATACGTATACTTTATGAATTTAATAATTTATTAACTTTTAAATAACTAAAACAAAATCTTTGAAATCATTGGACATCTATTAATATAATAATAAGTTTCTTGAAGACAATAACATTCTCAAACTATTTAAGAACCTTCCACATTCATATGTTACTCCAATTGTGCACAAAGACCAAGAAACTAATACATATATTTTGTTTGTCTTTATGCCAGTCATGTAAAAAATATGAATTAACCTCAACTTGTTAGTAGTTTCAATCTATACCAGATGGGGCATTACCAGGCTATGCATACTATTACTACAGTAATTCATGAATTGTCTTATAGTCGATAATTGATCCAAATTACAAACCCATATATTTGGCAATTCATGAATAGTCTCATGAGACCGATCAAACACAAATAATATATATATATAGATTCCATAAGAAAATTAAATTATATAAATATTTAATTTTACTTTATATTTACACATTATTTATATAGAGGAAAATAATGAGTTCTTAAATCGTAAGCTCATATACCACATGTAAACTATAATTATTCGTGTTAAGTCATTCATCACAAATAAATATGAATCTCATAATCTTAGAATTTCATTATTTTCACATAATCTATAATGCATAAATAAATATTAGTTAGATATAAATATCTCGATTCACGATATCAAACATTGTTGAGATTAAGTCCAACGTCCAGATCCTTTAACCACGAACTAAGCTGTAACTCTATCTCATAGAGATCAAGCCAAACATCGAGATCCTTTCTGCATAACGAACAACGTGATAAACTGTAAGTACAAACAATAGCCAAAGCGTGTAGAAACTGATTTCTCTCTCTTGGTCTTTTGGAAATATAAAACTTTTACGTGTTGTATCATTAGCGTACATAATTGAAGAAAGATATGCACTTTATATTAAAGGCAAGGAAAGGGCCAGTTTTCCTTTTAGTAACCTTAATTCCACTTTCCATCAAAGTAAGGAATAAATAAGAAAACACTTCTCCAATAATTAATTACCATAAAGGTACTTTATAAGTTGACCAAATAATATAATATTAATCTGATACCTATTTACTTAACCACTAATTAATGAAATATATCACATGTCCAAAACATGTGGGCTACACAATTAATAAATAATCTTACATGTGACTCTAATTCAAAGTCTTCAACCTCTGACTCTGATTCAGAGTCTTCAATCTGTGACTCCAATTTTAATTTAACACAAATAGCTTCAACCTTCAACCTTTGTTGTTCTCTGCCAAAAGAGAACATTTATATAAGTAAAAAATAGGGTTAATTACAATGACACCCCCTGAGGTTTGTTTTATTGACAATCATATATAAGTTAGCCTATTTTTTATCAATGACACCCCCTGTCAGATTTGGCATCCAAACAGAACCAAAAAAATGTGTAAAAAGTCTAATTTACCCTTCATTATTTTATTAAATTTTTAATGTAAAATATCAAAACACGTGAATGACTGAGTTGCCCCTCTGCTATTCATTCACATTTCTCTCCGTACGCAAATCTTATATCTCTCTTCTCTAACCCTAACCATGTTTTCACTAGTCAAATTATATCTCCTTCCAAACCCTTGATCATGACAAACCCTCTGAAAATTTCACTACTGACGACAACCACCACCGATCAACGGCGACAATCAAATCAGCGGCAATAATCTTGGCATCCAGGCCAAGGAGTACCTTTTTCTCATGTTATGCACGCCTCTGCTCCTCTGTGTGTGTCCGTATATACTATTGCAATAGTGGTCTCTGTAATTGCTGCTCTCCTAATCTTTGTTCTCACAGATTCATTTGTCTTCCCTTGTTTGTTCTGCCATGAGGCCCCTTTAAAAGGGGATTCCGCATCCATGGAGATCGATGCCTCTTTCACCCCCAAAGAACCTGATTGTTGTTAATTATCTCTATCAATGAAGTGAGAAGTAAGTTCACCCCTTTTCTTTTCTATGTTGATCATGTAGAAGCGATCATTTGGCTTCCTCTTTAGGAAATTAAAGATTAAGAGCCAATGGTCCTTGGTTGGCGACTGATTCTTTGCTTAGTAGCTCACATATATATATATACACACACACACACACACACACACACATACATATAGTACGAATTGAAACTCTCTTTTTTCAATTCAATTGCATACACAAACATATATATATATAGCAAATGTATTTAAATTGAAAAAACAGAGCTTCAATATTTATTGTGTGTGCTGGTGTGTGGTTACATGTGTGTGTGTGTGTGTATATATATATATATATAACACTCGTTTTTCAATTCAATGGCATACACAAACATATATATAAGTGTGTGTGTGTGTGTGTGTGCACATGTAATTAAATTGAAAAAACAGAGCTTTACTATTTATTGTGTGTGCTGGTGTGTGGTTACATGTGTGTGTGTGTGTGTGTGTGTGTGTGTGTGTGCAATTAAATTGGAAAAACAGAGAACCCCAATCGACGCTGCAGAGGATGCTCGTGGCACGCGCATAGAGGAAGATGACTGCAGAGGTAGTTCTTGACCGCCCATTCACGCCGGTGGTGATTGTAATCTTGTGGGCATTAGTGAGGTCATTGATTGTGCAAGTGGGAGGACTAGGATCGCTAGGAGTTTCAAAGGTCGAGAGATCGCTTTCACACTACCAGTGCTATTCTTTCTTGAAGGGTTGTTGGGTTTGGTAAAGAGGGTTAGTTTTGTCCATTAAAAAGATTTAAAGAGGTTAAAATAGTAATTTCATGATTAAAATAGGTCAATTTATAAGTCAAAGGGCAATAAAGTCAATTTATCTCGTGTCAGATGGATTGGAGTGTCTTTGTTAACTTTACCAAACTTTAGGGGTGTTATTGTTCAAAAATGAATTAACTTATATATGGTTATTAATAGGGCAAACTTCAGAGTGTCACTGTAATTAACCCTAAAAAATATACTAAGGCTATAATTATGGTTGACACAAAAGTTAGAAAATGATGACATTCACTCTCTTTGAGAAAACTCCATTTATTATTTTAACTTTTGATCAGCGGGTGCTTAATATAAGACTGTTGACACAACCAATATTAATTTACTCTCTATATTACTGTAAAATATATATATATATATATATATATATATATATATATATATATATAAACTATTATTCTTGCTTCTTGAGATGCAAAATTACCAATTTTGTTAGAAAATTTGGTTGTTTGTTTACTAAATTTTCATTTAGATTCTTTTGTAATATTTTGTTTATCATTACAAGAGCTTTTTTTTAAAAAAAAATGGAAGTAATTTACCCAACCCTTTCAATTTCTTTATCGAAATTTTTACCAATCCAAATTGACATTTTTAATTAAACATATTCATAGATAAAACTATAAAAAGATAAATAAAAAATAAAAAATAAAAAAACAAAAACAAAAACAAAATTTCTTACAAATTCCTCATCTCTTGTTTATAACTTCAAGCAAATTTATTAATACTAAAATGCATAATATTCTCACTTAGAAAAGATAAATATAATTATCTAATATGCTTAATCACATAAAGAAAACATGAGAAGAAGTTTAAAAGAATGTGGAAAGGCAAGAGTTTGATAGATATAATTGAAGAAAATAGAAGAACGTGTGAGAGGAGGAGAAATTGATTGAGATTCTTAACATTAAAACTGCTAAAATTGGCAAACCTATGGTGGGGCCTACTTTAAAAGACTAATGAGATTTTTGGATTGGGGGCCTTGGACAACCCCTTAATTGGCCTAGTGATCGAGCCTGCTTTTGAGTTCATACATAATTGTGCTAGTAAGGTGAGAAGAAAATTAATGCTTAATAAGGAACATCTATTGAGTTGGATCTTACCATACGACTCTCTAATATGTAAAAGGCTTCCTTATGTAGCCACACCCTACTACGCTCACCCGGCTCATGGATACTTTCTTGACAGAAATATACCTACCAAGTTCTCTAAGCTGATCATGCATCCTTAGCTCGTCGTTTTCTCCAATTTTCGCCAAGGACTTGAGCATAAGAGCTTCAATCCCATTTTCAGGATAAAAATTGCAGTCATCCCACATGTGGAAAGCAACTCTTTTATCCACTCCAATGAAAAGACATGCAATATCGAGAGATATATGTTGTTGTTCATATTATAATGCTTCATAACTTATAATCAACTTCTTCTCCACTTCGCGATCCGGTATTCTTTTCAACTTCTTCCATGTTTCTTTCCATACTTCTTTTCTCTTCCCATAAAAAGAAGAACCAATAATCTCAAGAGCCAAAGGCAACACCCTCCAGTAGTGGACACAACAGCTCTAGATAGAGTACCATAATCTTCTGGGGGATGGTGTCTTCTAAAAGCATGTTTGCTGAAAAGCTGAAGAGATAGATTAGAATCCAATTCCTCTGGTTCATAAATCCAGCAATCTACCTCCTGGAAGTAGGATAATTGTCACAACTAGAAACAAAGATATTACAAGAAGATTTTGTTAGAATGTCTTTGTTTCTAGTTGTAACAATTATCCTACTTCCAGAACCAAATTAAACACACTTTCCCACGAGTGCATGAAGATGAATTTCTTTATCAACATCATCAACGACAACAAGAGCTTTCTTCTCAGAAAATCTGTCTTTGTTTACATTAATGCCTTCATCCATAGTAATAATGTCAGCGCATCCCGGCTTTAAGATTTTTGATATAAGTTGGTTTTGCAAATTAACAAGACCATCATGTTGTTGGGCTGTTTCTCTAACATCTGGAAGGAAGCAACAGGAATCAAAATGTTGGGAGAGTTGGCTGTAGATGACCTTGGCTATTGTGGTCTTGCCAATTCCTCCCATGCCATGGATTCCCACAATCCTTGCATCATTGGAATTAACACTCAACAATTTCATCATTTTTTCTACATGATCATCAATTCCAACTAACCATTCATTTACAACCACTGAGTAGTTCCTTTTCAGCTCTCCCCATACCTTTGAAACAACCTCCTTTACTAGTTCTCCTTGATGCCTGCCAAACATAATTGCTGTCACATGTATATATGGGGAAAATGAAAAATATAAATGGCCTACTTGATTTAAATTTTCAACTCTCAGAAAACTAAAAAATAGAAAGTAGTTTCAAAATTCATTTGACAAATAATTTGTCAAAACCTAATTTTTGTACACTAAGTTTAACTAGTGTGTAATTTGAGAGAACTGAAAAGTTAAATAGCAGAATCATTATATATAAGACTATAAGTAAATATACACAATTACCTATCAGCAACTTCCCAACCCTTCAATTCTGCAACCTCCCTCGAGGCTTTCTTCCATCCCTCCACAGTAGCACTATCATATTTCTTCTCGTGTTCCTGGAAGGCCTTTTCGTAACTCCCCATCTGGTGTCGCACATCAGATGGTTTGATGCCGTAGAAAATGGGTTTTATGGTTTGCCCCAAAGTCGTCTTACACTTGACCATCTTGGTGAGCTCAAGCAGGCACCACTTACTAGAAGCATAGTCTTTGGGAAAGACTGGTATGGATACCTTTGAGTTCTCTATTGCCTTGAGAAGCTCATCACCTATCTTCTCTCCAATGCGAAGCTCATTGTCGTCTCTATACGTGTGAATTACTGCTTCCACAAGGTCGCGGTAGAGGTAGTCAGTAAAGGTTTTACGGGTGTCTTCACCTCTGAAACTCAAGAACACTTCGTAGTCGCATCCTGCACGTGGAGAGGTGGACAATGAAGAATTGTTCAAGGGTGGTACTGTAGTGTTCTCGGTATCCATTTCAAGGGTGTGAGAGGCTCGGTGATGGGTTCCTGTTAAGTTTCAGTGGTCAGCAATGAAAATGATGAGAACCATATCAGTGGACATTGAAGAAATGAATTATTCAATTTCATAATTTCCACACCCTTTTTTTCTTTTCTGTCTATGGCCCATGAAATATGGTAGTGGTGGAACAACCTTTCTGACTTTTTTTATCTATGGCACATGATGCATGATAGTGGTGGAACAATCTTGTTTGATGGAACTTATAACATTTTGGACCTACCTTTTACTCAAAAGCAACTTAAGCCGAGTCAATTCATTCAAACGGAAAAATAAAAAATGAAATGAAATGAAATAATATTATTAATAAATGGCAGCTTTCAAATTTCACTTTTATAAGTTCTATTTATCTCTCTAATATTAAAGAGGTTATATCGATATATATTTATATAAACTTCTTTCTCTCTCTTAAGTGTGTGTGTATTATTTTTTGAAAAAATTATATAATCCGAATCAAATATTTGAAGAAGTGTACTGAATTCTAGAAATAATGTGGTGAAATGATAAATTGAGTGTTGAATTTTGAAAAATAATTTTTTCTTTTTTTACTGACAACAACTTGAAAATGATTTGTTGAAAGTGCTGAAATAACAAATTAAGTATATTGAATATAAATTTTCACTTTTATGAATTCTATTTCTCTTTCTAATATTAAGTGTGTTGAATCTCAATAAACTCAATTTATAAATTCTTATATAAACTTTCTCTCTCTTTCTAAGTCTGTCTATATATATATATATATATATATATATATATATATATATATATATATATATTAAGTGTGTTAAATTCTAAACATATTGCATTGGAATATATATGTGTGCGTGGAAATGATTTAGATGTGGTGAATATGGATTTAAGTATATGAAGATAAAGATTTAAATGTGGTGAATATGAATTTAGTGTGGGTAAGAAGATTAAATTTGTTGAACTGAAAAAAAACTAAGTAGTTCTTCTTCTTTCTTTCTATTATTATTATTGTTTTTTTAAAGTGTGTGAACATGAAGATTTGAAGGTATGGAATTTAGATTCAAGTGTGTGGGGAGAGTGAATCAAAGTTGTTGAACTGAAGGAAAAACAAAAAAAAAAAAAAAGCCTTTTCTTCAAACCACACCTTTAAATATATATGTTCACACTTAAATGCATATAACACAAAGACACAAAACTTGCTGCTGCTTTTTTGTTTTTAGTGAAAATGTCGCAACATGAGAAACAATAGAACTTGTTGAGTTATGAAAAGTGCTTGGAAAGAAAGAAGATGCTAATCAAATCACAAGGAAAAAAAAGGTTGTCTAAAGTGTAGAATTGGCTTCTCTCTGCCACTAGGCATCAAAAGAATGATTTCCGCTTATTTATCATTATTGTTTTGGATTGAATGGGTTAACACAAATCTTGTCTAAAGTCTAAAAACAACACTACACCAAACCCTACGACTAGGCGTCAAAGGAATGGGTTCCACTTATTATTTAACAAAGCGGAGGCTAAATTGAGTTTTTTTTTTTTTTTCGTCAAATCAATTGGCAGTCATCAGTTGTCTTCCTAATAAAAATTTAGTTTTCTCATAACACTCACAAACTCCAATATATATATATATATATCTCAAAAAAGATGGAATAGGTTATAATTTATCCATTTCAAATGTGTGATGAGTTCCTGTTAAAAGTTGGCTTGGCTAGAAATGCAAATGATGAGAAGCTAAGTATCAGTGGGCATTAAAGAAAAGAGTTCTTCAATTTCTTAATTTCCACACTAACACCAAAATACATAACCAACTCTTTTTTACTTTCTTGTCATGGCGCACAACCATATATATATATATATATATATATATATATTTTTAATAATGCAACCATGAGTCATAACACACAAGAAATAATTAATTTGATTTTCCAATCATTTAGGAAAAAAAAATTTTAAATTGATAAATTATTATTATTATTTTTTTTTTTTGTTTTTTTATTCTCCATGATTAATGATTCATCACAAAAGTTTGGTGCTTCAAAACTGATCAATTTACCAGTGCACGCCAAGTGCTTTCTTTAGGGTAGAAAGCACTAACGTGTGCTAGACTGCTAGTATCAAAATTAATGATAGGACCCACTAACATGTGCTGTGCTTTCTTAGGGATTAGATAGTGATCCTGTTTACTAAAAAGAATCTCGAGTCCAAAGTATTAATCTAGATCGTTTACAAAGAAGAAGCATATAGAGAGATTGCTTATAATTTGACAATATACCAAATGAGAAGTGCACTCAAACTTGGGATCATAAATAACAGTTCCTTCCTTGCACCTTCTCATCAGTCTATTTCCTTAGCTCTTGATCATCGAGAAAGTTTATAATATGATTTGGGATTACATGGTCTTGGTTGTGACAAAAAAACAAAAATCTGAATAATCTGGATCTCTCCCTCTCCCTTCCTGCATCAACAAGCAATGACCCTCATCCATAATCTGGATCTCTCGTTCCCAAACATCCAAAGCCATTTTCCCAGAGCCTTGTTGAAAAGATCAAGCCTCCGAATCCCCCAAACCTCCCTTTTTGATTGGGGAACGCACTCTATCCCAATTAACCCAGGAGAGCTAACCACTCAATCTTTCTAAAATAACACAAGAACCACAATATGTAGAGAGGATGCATCTAGCTCTAAGAAGACATGGTGCTAGGAAAGATTTGCAATTTAAACATTATGAATTGAATTGCAGTGGAACAATACAAACCTCTCCACTTTACTTTTGGCCTGTAGAATTAATCTTATAGCAAAGCTTTGTGTGTTTTTTGGTTAATGTTAAAAGTTGTTGCAGGGAGGTTAACTATGTGGTTACTAATCTTTACCATGCAATATTTTTGGATAGGATAGTCATGAATACATGCGTGTTCCATTTTTAGCTAGTTAATAAAAAAATCTTATTTCGATGAAAACATGCAAAATGATCAAGAATATGCATGTCATGAGAACAGCATGATTGTTGTTAACTCACAGTTTTTTTACACAGTGCCCCTAGAAGTACTGAAACCAAACTGTCTAACATCCACAACACAGAATTGCTGAAATGGATGAAAAGTTACTAGCAGAGTTGTTTCTAACATTTCCAAAAACCATTCAAGCAGTTTGAGACTCTTTATCTAAATGATACAATGTTCTTAATTGTCATTGCTATTGAATTTCACATGTTGAGGGAGAAAGAGTGAAAGAAGAGAGATTATAAGGTACCTGAATTGATATCGGAGACCAAATCAGTCCCAAAAGGTTTGAGTTGGTGTTGGGATTTCTTATGAGCTTCCTCCAAAGTCCAAATCATGATAAGAACGAGCCATGTCATGACACTAGCAGGTGGCACGTGGCTTGTAAAGGGAGAACCAGTTGCCAGAAATTTCAAACCATCCTCTATTTCAATCTCCCTATCTCAGTTGATTTTCCCAGCAGGACTTGCATTTTCCATCAAATCATACATACCTGTATACCAAGATTAGATACATGCAATAATAAACAACAGATGGGAACTAAAAAATAAAGTATTAGTGCAAATTCCCTTCCCTATGCAGTATTACTTACCATGAATGTGGTAAATAAAATGAAAAAATTCAAGCAGTAAGCCAAAAACTTTTTGTGGACGCTGCTCTAAAAGCTACAACAAAAACTTTTTGTGGACTCTGCTCTAAAAGCTACAAAAGCAACAATTAATACAAGATCGATGCGGGTTAACTTGCTGTCTTTAAAGACTTAACAATAACAATATGGAGGCATCAACAATGGAGTATATAGCTGCATAAGAGGTCCTATTAGTTGCAGAAAAGGGGTGCTTAAAAGCTTGATCTCTAGCAAACTAAATGCAACCGACACAATTTTTAGATTGACAAGCCAATAAAAGATCTCATCAAATATGAGCTTTTCTTGATTTCATTTATTCAGTTTCAGAATCAAAATTCAAAATATGGCTCAAACAATATGATTTAGTTAAGTTGCACCCAAAATCTCTTAATATATATGAAGACATTAGACGTTACTACAGAGCTCGTGTTTTTCCTATAGAAGCAGAAATTGAAGTATTGGTCTTTCCCAGCTCTCAAGCCAGAATTGAAGACTTATTGGGTATATACAACCATTATTAACATATATCTAAAATTGAGTAGAATATTTAACCATTAGAATATATTAAATATCAAATATACTGCACAGTAGCAGTTGATGAGGCAAGAAAAAATTTCGGCTTTAACATGGAAAGATTTGAAATTGTTATTTACAAAATGTATTAAAAAGTAATTTGAAGCTTCAAAATTCCTGCTAGTATTAGGAATCTTATACACAAAGTCCTCCACATGAAATCATCTAGAATTTAGACGGTGATAACATTACTTACAGAACATAAGTAGCCATACACAAAGTCCTCCACATGAAATCATCTAGGATTTAGACAGTGATAGTATTTCTTACAGAATTGTTACCTGGAAAAACTTATAGACTGAGAAAGAGAAATTAGGCAGTAAGCATACTAGTAAACATTTATGCATCAAACTACACAAAATCTATGAAAACAAACATGGATGTTTAGGAACTTCAATTTTTCTCTGCCTCGCGGTACCTGATTTCAATAGTAAATTGCAATTGGCATGAGGAATCGACCCCTCTACAAAAAATCATGCATTTCTTACCGATTGCAAATCCTGGATCCAAACAATTTTAAGAAAGAAAATAAATCTTTACAGAAATATTTAAATTCCTTTCAAGCTTTGAAGCTTGTTCTGTAACACAATATCTCAAAACCTAACTAAGAAAACAACTTAAATCTCAAAATAATCAATTCACAAATTATACACCGTTCTATTGCAAATGAATTAGATTACCTCGAGCAAATATTGTCAGTCTATGTTCATAGATTGATTTAATGAATTGTCTGAAATCGAAGCTTCAGCGGCGAAATTGAGCCCTAACATCCACACAGAAATTATGAAACTATATTATCCAAAGATATGCAAGATGGCAAGCCCAATATCTTCAAGGATTTCAAGGCCTCAAACCCACAATCTCATGTGTGTTTGCCTCTGAAACTCATAGAACACATCATAGTCGACCCCTTCCGGCAGGTGGAGAGGTGATTAAGCACATACATGTATGAATCTCTGGATGTGTTCTTGAGTTTCAGAGGCGAAGACACAAGAAAGGTGAGAAGAATTGCAGGAAGTGTGATGAGACAGGAGAGCCATAAACAGTCCTTTGTATAGATTTCAAATGTGTGATTAGAGAGAGAAATAGAACCAGATATTTTGTAGGGAGAAAAAGAGTTGTAGGGTTTCAAATGATGATGTGTCATTGTATGTGTTTTATTGCATCCACCATGTGGAAAACACGATAATATCATGTTAGGTCATTACATGACGATGCCTAGCATTTGCAAGTGGAGGTGCCCCACTCATCTTAGGTCATTCATTACATCATGAAGTGCAAGTGGAGGTGTCCACTCTTGCACCCATCCATTTACACACACACACACACGTGGAAAGAAGGAAAGATGTGAAGAAGCCCCCAAAGATCTCTTTGTTACCATCAACCAAGTCTTGGATTGTGGAATTTATACTGAGAACTCGATTTCGTGATACAAGTTATTGGATCTTAAATTTGGACAAATTCGTATTGTGGAGGTGATCGAATTTATTTATTTATATGTATTGACGTATAAATTTTTAACAATAGTATTATATCAAATTTATTTATTTATCTACATTGATGTATAAATTTTCAAGACCGGTGTCACATCCATTATACTTGTTGTTTGATTATTATATTTTGAGTAATTTATACAAACCTCTCTTATAATTTGTTATAATTACAGGAATCTTCTTTTTATTTCACAAATTACGCGAACCTCTCTTGAGAATGAAAATATCTTACACAAACCTCTCTTCTGTTAAAGTCAATGTCATTGACTCACAGATTGTGCTGATATCATCTTCTAAATTAACTGAAATGTCCAAACTACCCTTAATATAATATATATATATATATATATATATATATTTAGTCAGTGGTGATGGCAGTGGTGACGGCCCGACGACGACCATTATTAGTCAGCTTCCCAACGTGTTCTAGATTAATCTGTCCACAAAACATTAATAATTTACAATTCAAAAGAGAATAGAAATCTTATAAGATCAAGTGAAATGGAATTAATTTCAACAAACCAAGTGAATGACTGCATTCTGCAATTTAACCCACAATGCCTCATATACCTACAATTCGAAACAGAAATGAATTTTACATACAAAGTCATTGTGGTGGTGGGTTTGAGACAGCCAGGCTGTGAGCCGGCGACGGTGATGGTGAGGGTCTGTGACAGCGACGACGAGAAGCGTTGAGGCAAGCAATTCGTTGATTCAAGGTCACCTTTGGATGTTGTCGTGACGCTTAGCTCTAGCTTTGTCACTGATCCTAGTCCCTGTAAAGGATAAAAGGCAAAAGTCGAACTCCGTGAGGCAAAAATGGAAAGTAAGATCATACCCTATTTAGCCACCTGTACTGCTCGTCGGACTGAATCAAAAACTCACCTAGTTAAGGTTATATTCCATCTGAAACAATGGTTAGGGTACATAAGTATATATATATCATATATATTATTTCTATGGGTATTTTAGTCATTTATCATAAAAATTGATGGCATTTCAGTAAATTTGACATGTCCATTAATGCATTTAACGGTCCGTCACACATAAAGGAGATCCGTGTAGATTATTTTCATTCTTAGGGGAGGTCCACGTAATTTCTAAAATAGGAAGGGAGTGTGAGATATATTTTTGTAATTGGTATATTTCGGTAACAAAACAAGTCCTAGTCGAGTTGTAATTTCAGTTACCATATCAAAATCGACATCGACTGCAGAATTCGAAGGTTGTTCAGAAGAGGAAAGTACTGTTGATTATCGAAAAGGAAAGAAAAACATGTTAGGACATCGTTTCCCATTTAGAACACAAATACCTATATGATATATTTTCCAAAAGTTCCAAAAACAGAAAATCTAAGTTCAAATTGGATTCTGTTAAGTGAGAACCAGTACCTGAATTTGGGAACCGGTTCCAGAAGCTAAGAGTCAAAGAACTTCATTCTGTCCTTTGGGAACTAGTACCAAGATTGAGAACCAGTACCAGAAGTCCTGACAGCAAAAGGTTTTTAATTTTCTTATTCTGTTTGATTCCTTTTTTATCCAACTTTCCTTCCAAGTCTTATGCACGAAATTTCCTTTATTTTCAGAAGGAATAGGACTTTGCAAACCTCTATATAAACCATGTCATACACATAGGTTTATTCACGGCTTTAGTTTTACAAATTTATTATTTTTAAAAGCCTTAGGAAGATTAGTCTTGCAAAAAATCCAAGAGATTTTCTGTCATCTTTCTAGAACACATACATATAAACACATAGTGAGTTTAGAGTTATGGTGTTCAAATCCTGATCGTGATCATACAGTTGCATCTACGTTGATCAGATAAAAGCAAATCTACTTCTACATCGAATTCAGACGATTGAAGAACAGAAGTAAAAACGATCACACTTTGAAAGGGTTGGAGGATTCGTGGAGTGTTGTCTAATCTACTTGCTACTCTTCTACAAATATCACGTATAAGTCTGGGGTCAAGTTGCTGTTGACAGGGAGTCGCAAAGCCAGATGATTGTTAATAGTTGGTGTTTGGTAGAACGATAGGGTGTGAGCCCGAGTCAAAATTTAGTATACTTTGTTTTAAGCATAGTTGATCGGTTTACCCACGAAATTTTTCCCATACAAACAGCTGACGTATTTTATCAACTGTGGTTTCCTCGCTAAAAATCCTGATGTCATTTCTAACTTTATGCTTTATTTTATTTTATCTGCATGTGATTTATTGTTTAATTGCTAAAATAATTAAAGTTGAAAAAAACACAGATCAGTTTTAAAATTATCAAAACTTTCTAAATATTCCGCTGCGTACAACCTTGTAATTATAGCAAACCATAGGGGGATTTGTGTAAATTACCCTTCTATTTTTTAGCATGCTTAGAATAAATTTATGCAATTTATTAGTTAAAAGTATGCTTATTACTTTAAAATTTTCATATCTCGGCATATGAACATCAAAAAATTATATATATATATTTAATATGGCGTGCTCCATATGTAAATATACAAATTTAGAAATTTTCATGCAAAAAATCTTTGTATTTATTATTATTATTTTTAAAAAAATAATAAATTTGGAACAAAATCTTGTTTTGCTTGTTTCTCTCTCTTGGATGAGTTTTGTTGCATGAAAATTATATCACTGGCCGGAATCCTTGTTTTATTAGTTTTTCGTACATATATTATTTGCATTTTTTTTTTTTTATATACTGCATATGAGAGATCAATTATTGGAAGTCTCAATAAAAATAAGGAATTTATGGGATATAAACAAAAAAATTTATTATAATTGTTTTCGTATTTCACTCCAGAGGTTTGGAAACTAGGATCAACCCAAAAACGGACGCACAACCTGAGAAAAGCGAGAAAAACATAATGGTGGAATCGGTTTTTAGATGAGATCCTAGAAACTAGGCGCGTGGTGGAACGCTCCGCCTGCCGCGTGTATAGGCTAGTTGGGTAAGGCTGTTCCAGCAGCACTGCTACACGCCCAATTAAGTCCCGGGGTCTGTTTTAAGTCCCCCTTTTTTCCAGTCTTCTTCAAATTTAATTTTCTATTTTATTGTATTTTTCTAAAAAAGTTTCAGCAACCATAAAAATTAGTTTTTAATTATTTCTTTGTGAAAGAATTAAAAAATTAAATCATTGAAGCTAATTGACGCACGTAGGGACGCGGGACGGACTGTGAGGGTCTAGTTTTGGGCAATAAGTTGTAATATCTATTTGGACTAGTTGTGATTTTTTATTTTATTTATTATTTCTTATTTTTGTTGAAAGAAAATATGTATATTTTAAATTTCTGAAAAATTTGAAATTGATTATATGATTCAATTTACTGTTTTTTTATTTAAATTTCTTTTGAGTTATATTCATATTATAACGAGGTAAACTGCAAATCAAGGCATGTTTTTCATTATTGAATGTTCTTTTAATAATGATTATTGCTCCATTTTGTACGTGAGACCCAATCTCTACCCCCATTGGGGTGAGTATGGAGAATCCCGACACTCTAACACAATATTTCATTATTTATGATATCGTGGATGGATGTAACAATTACAGATTAATAGGATTATTAAATTGATATTTTAGTACACGTGTTTAAGTTGTGTTATAATAAGGTTCAATTTTCATATATGGGATATGGTACGACATCCTCATTTATCTGTTATAGAATAATGTAATAGATTTATTTGAAATGTAATTTGATACAAGTGATGTATTTTATTATAGAAGTCATGTAAGAGGATGTAATTGTGCACCATACTCATATATTTAGAATTGTCTTGGCACGAAAGTACTAGAATGCCAATAAGGCTCCAGTGGAGACCATATGGATGAATGATTATTTATTATGGATGAACGATTATTTATTGTGTGGATGGATTAAATAAGGTTTAATTCAAAATTATTAGCTCAAAATTAAATTGAAAATATATTATTTTTTAAATAATTGGGAAATTATTATTGGCATAGCAAAATTCTCAATCTCGTTATGTCAAAAAAGAACCAAATTTTCAATTAAATTTTTGGAAGGAAAAATAATAAAAAGGAATGTATGCTAAATGTCAGTTTGCGTATCTTGAGTGCGGATGGCTTTAAAGAATGTATTCTTTTCGTCTTATAAAAAGTATTATTTTTAAAAAATCGTGATTCTTATGAATTAAATTGACACGATTTTTAAAATATAACATTATTTTTGGGACGGAGACAGTAATTGCAAACCTCACCGGGGGAGAAAAACTAAACGGTACCAACTATGACATATGGCATAGGGAAGTTCAAAACTTGCTAAATGAACAAGATGTCTTAGAAACATTGACCACTGACATGACCCTACCTGAGTAGGGCACTACGTTCCAACGCCGTCAGGATATAGAATCCTATCAAAATTAGGTTAAGAAAGATCGATGTGCGTGCTTTACCATGCTAAATACCATGCACAATGATCTTATTGGGGAATTTGATAAGATTCCATATCCCGACGGTGTTGGGCTGTAATCCCCTCCTCAGGCGGGGTCATGTCAGTGGTCAATGTCTCTAAGACATCTTGTTCATTCTGGTGGGGTCATGTTAGTGTTC